AGGTGTTACGTCCGTTTTGGTATGGTTTAGATTGCGGAACACTCACATGCTGCTCGTCTAATAGCTTTCGTTATGTTGGCCCTCTGTTTATTAATCGTATTGTTCATAGTAATCTGATATCGGTCTACTTCTATTTCTAGTCTCTTAGAATTAAATAGGGCTACATGCTGAAATATCAATCGCAGTTAAAGTATCAAGTATGCAATATTGAGTATATTTGCCGTTGTTAAGGATACAGACCTTATTTTGCAGTATAAAACTTGTAATCATTATTCCTCTGGAGTTGGTATTGTGAGAGCCCCATAGTGGATGTTCGCAAAATTAGTATCATTGTGAATTGTTCAACGCATTGAAAGAAACTTTTTTGTTTGGTGGTAGGTAAATAATTTATATGATGTGGGTATGCTTGTGGAGCCAATAAGAGTTACACTAAAGTTTTATCGGGTGGATCTTCTTTGATTGTTGGGAGGATAAAATCGTATTTTAATTGATTTGTATAAGATTTTTGTTTTGTAGTTGTGTTGTCAGCAATAGGTTTGGTATCCTATAATTATTGGTTCTGTTTTGCAGATTTTCGTTGCTTTTGGTTGCTGTATAAGGTTTGATTTGAATAGTTTCCAATTTGTAGGTCTTTAGCGAGCTTGTATAATTCAAATGATAGAATATATACATATCCATTATTTCTTATTCTTTTATTTTATTAACTTCGATTACATTTTGATCCTAAGGCCAGTTGTTATATCTTTTTCTGAAAGGTTTGTTAATGCTGGAGGAAATATCACACCTTTCACCGTATCAAGTTTTGTAAGATATTCACAAATAATTTCGCATATACACATGTATTAGAGAGATTTTTGTTGATATTAAAATGTCTGTTTTTTTGTTGTTAACGAGAACAAGTAAATTGCCATCACCTGTAAATTTTCTTAGTTTTACATTGTTCTCACCAACGATACAGTTTAGCGCTTTTGTTAAGAGAAAAATTTTGAATGTGTTTAGCGGCTTTTTATTGTTTGAGATTTCCCGTAATTGAGGATAGAAGAAGAAAAAAATTTTGGATTGTTTAAGTTAAAGTCTTTTTTATAAATATTTTTTTTTTTTGGCTGAGGGATCCAAATCCAGAATCCCATATAGCCTCCACCTTAGCCATAACTGCGAGTGAGAGTTTACTATAAGGCACTTGTAAAGTCGACGTTTAGAAAAAAACAAATTTCTGCATAAAATCGTAGAATTTCAATTTAATTTTTTCACAAAATTATAGATTTTTCAAAAATATTTTATCAGCTTGAGAAAAAATTACTGCTCCTGATCATTTATATTATTGTATATAACTCTATATATGTATATTTCCATTAGTTTTTGGTGATACATACAACCGTTAGGTGAACAAAACTATAAACTTTGTAGCAACAGGCTGCAAGAGTACGAAGTTTATAATGCATGCAAAGTCATCTTTCAAGGTCTCTTAACTTCTGTTCCTATAGGCATCAACCTATATTATTAAATCATGCAAGTCATTTTGGCACCATCGCCCAGCTGAAGATTGTTCACCATAAACTTCTACCAAATTACAATTGTTATCGCTTCAAATAAATGAGATTTACTGAAAACTATTCACAAGAACAGCAGCTTTCCAATGAATGTTTACTTGACAAAGCGCACGGAATATAATCTTCATTAAATTAGTTGTTTGAAAGTATCTACATACCGGCTGCCAAATTTCAACTACCAACATACATAACGCGAATCTAAATGTTCTCTCTTTTTATTCTCTCGCAACATGTTGCTACGTTCACCTAACAGTTTTTGTATCACCTAAATAGTTTCGAAATTGATATGGAGTTGGGATCAGGATGTCGAGACGATTGCTAATGGATAAAACGATATTAACCGCAAAACAATAAAGAGCCATAAATAAGCACTAAACTAAGTTACAAAACTATAATTTGGTACCAGTAGTTGTAGTAGCGAAAGTTATCTGTGTGCTAAAATTTTTAACAAGTTAGAATGGGCCACCACTAAATGTCTTATGTTTAAAACTACTAAAAGTGCAAAAGTTCACTGAATCCTTTACATGTATGAGATTTCACAACCAAAATGGCAGGGAAGGACTTTATAAGTTGATGGGCGTGGCACCTCCCAGCTTTAATACCCTAATTCTTAGGAAATACTTTAACGGAATTCGATGTATGATAGAATTGGTTGACGACCAAACCTATCTCCCATATAACAAACTTTTAGGTATATCGTGAAGTGTATAAACAAGTTTTTTGGGAATTTGTTTATGACATCTGTCGGAGAAATGGCTAAGTGAATGATATGCGTTTTTTCACTACCGGACACAAAAACCCAGTTTAGAATCATGAAAAAATGTTGATAAATAAACAAGAAAAAAAATTTTTTTTTAATTTTTGCCCAAGTTTTTTTACATAAACATTGTCAATAAATTATAAAAAATTATGAATCAGGTAGGGACGATAGTCAGACGTTTTGTAAATTTAGCAAATCGGTTCAGTAGTTCGACCGGAACCACGTCCGCCAGTTTAAAAAAGTGTGTTTTGAGAAAAAGGCGTTTAAAGTTTGAGGTGTGCACTCAGAGCGCTCCTAACCTCGAGCGGTATTATTATTTTTGGGATTTTTTGAAAACTTTTCAATGGTAAACCAAGCGAAGCTATGCCCTTCTTCACCTTGCCTGTCCAACGGAGTAAAGGTCTTCCTCTGTTTCTTCGGTGGGTAATGCGTCAAATACCTTCACAGCTGGAGTGTTTTCATGCATTCCGACAATATGACGGAGCCAACGAAGCCGATGTCTTTTATTTCGCTGAACTATGTCAATGTCATCGTAAATCTCATAGAGCTAATGGTTCCAAACGATCTTTTCCAAGATTTGGCGCATGGTGAATATCTGGTGCACATTTATCTTTCACACAAAATGCTCGATTAAAACTTAATGCGTTGTTGAAGAGACGGAGATTGTGGGGTTTCCCTCTTTCCGGATTGGGCAGAGCACTCGTCCGACTATATTCCACAGAGAAGCTGATGCATGCGCCCTATAATCTTCGCTGCCGTGTTTGAAGAAGTCAACCGGCAATCTATCGGCCACCACCGCCTTGTTGTTCTTCAGACGGGTAATTGCAATTCGAACTTCTTCATGGTCGGGCAGTGGAACGTTCGCTCGATCATCGGATGCACTATCTTTTGCTGTTATGCTTTCACTGCCATTCAGCACGCTGGGGAAGTGTTCCCTCCATAATATTAGTATCCCCTAGACAACCTAACCTCTGGGAGTTCTGCAAGAGTATGCTTCGATCTTGAAACCTTCTGTTAGTCGCCGCATCTTTTCGAGCATTAACCGTATCTGCCAGCTCTTTACGCTCTTTGTACGACCGAATTTTGGCTCTCTCTTTTTTTTCTGCAAATGCGTCTCGCTCTTTGCTGCGACGGGGCATTCCTCATCGTTTTAGCTGCCTTTTTGAATATTCCGAAAACCAATGTCATGAAAGCCGTCCCACAGCTCTTTTGTACCGAGTTGTCGATGAGTTCTCTCAGAGAGCAGGAGCTCTTGTGATGGCATATTCTTAATGTCGAACCTTCCTTCTGTTTGTTGACGTGGTCTTTTGTTGCACAGAGGCGGTTGCGTATCGTGGCAGCAACATAGTGGTCCGAGCTGATGTTCGATGATTTCAGTTGTCTCATTAAGAACAATACAGAGTGTATTTTATTCATTAGAGTGTAGCTTTATACCTAAAATAGATAAAATTGCTCATTATATAGAGTCCTCTTACGCTAATCCAATTCTAACAGTACCGTTTTATAGGGAGTGCTTACCTTCCAATTTCATCCATTTATGCAGTATAGTTAGGTACCCTTTTTGTTGCCGTAGGTGATTTTAGTTGTACAACAACCACTTAAGTGATTTGGGAGAAATTGACTTTAAACTAAACAGACGAAGGGGCCGCGCAAAATTGTCATTCTCTGTGCCAAATTACGGTTCAATATATTAATTTATAGCTTAATTGTCCCTTTTTATACGTTTTCGACAAATGACGATTTGCGGATGTGGCAGTGGTCCGATTACACCCATCTGCGAACTTTTCCTTACTTTGCCATGGAAAAACTGTACCAATTTTCATCAATATAAGTATATTAATTTGCGCTCAAGTTAAAGCTTGAATGGATGGACGGACAGGCAGTCAATCGGATTTCAACTTGTTTAATTATCCTGATCATTTATATATGTACTATACATAACTCTTTTTCGATTATTTTTAGATGATACATGGAACCGTTAGTAGAAAAAACAAATGTTGCAACAGAATAAATATCTGTGTTCCTTGGGAGAAATTCTCTTAAAGAGAGCTTGTAAAAATCGACTATACCTGTTTACCTATAGAGATCAGAGTTGTTGTGAGAGTGGTATTATGTTATTACCTTTACAATGGCAAAAAGAATATCTAGGATTTAAGGTAAACCAAAAACAAGGAGTTCAGAGGATTCCAATGATGCTGTCATACAAATTTACGCCATGTAGTAAAAGAAACTTTAGCAGTACATTTATAATATTTCTCGAATAACGAAAGCTTACCAAAATATACGTTTAGAAATCCAAATATACGAAACGCCAGCAATTAATGATAGTAGTAAACATCCGCAAATGCATATAATAATTAGCGTCAGTTGAAAAATAGAGTCAGTTGCAAACTCCAAAAGTGCTACATCGTTATAACCAGATCTAGTAAAAAATCGAAACACCAAGTAATATTCGGTAGCTGGTTTTAAAGGACCGTTACAATATATCTCTTCAGTTGTGTATTCACTGAAATTAGAGCATATATTGGGTAAGGTCTCGGGACAAGTTCCACTTCCAATTGTATACGTTATGTGAGTTTCATTGGAAAGTAATCCTGATAACGGGTTCCAACGAACTTCTGTTACTTGATATTGATTTACACAGTTTTTTTTATTATTAGCAAAGGCATCATTCCATGACATAACATATGGCCAATTTTCGTGCGAGTTTAAAGAATCGAATTCAAGTTTTGGGGCTGGATTACATCCCTGAAAATATAAAATAATATATTTTAATGGAATAAAGATTTTAAAAGCGGATATCTGTGCTTATATTATCATTAAAATCTGTATAAAGGGCGACTCATTTCGCGGTTCCTAAACTTCAAATTTTTAACAATTTTTATTATTATTCGAAAGTACATACTTTGGCACTTATTTTTTGAAAATTATCTCTTTCAAATGTAGGCCACGGCTACATCTCAAATGAGCCATCTCTTGTGTCCAATCTTGCATGACTATTTCGACCATTTTCACTGCCAACAGGCGAATGACATGCGTGATGTTTTCCTTAGACTTTACATCCCCACAGATAAAAGTCTAACAGTGTGGTATCATATCATTTTGATGGTCAATCGACCAACCCAAAACATGAAACTATAGGTAACCGAAGTTTTGTCTCAATAACTGTATTGATTGATGCGATTTTGGTTATCATGGTCGTCGTTTCTGGATCACTATTCGTCAGGTCACTATTCGTCTCAAATGCAGAAATTTTGCTTGTTTACATTTCCATTGAGCTAAAAATGGACCTCAGCGGTGAAAAAAATTTGGCTCGAAAACCCTGAATCTTCTTGGAACTTTTCAAGAGCCAACAGAGCGAAGCCATGTTGCTTGGGAAGGTCAAGCGGCTTATTTTGTGCATAAGTTGAGCGAATAAGGACGAACGAGTTTTAAAGGTTGTTTCAGTCGTAAGTCTTTCCATGATGAAATGCCAAACAATACCGAACAAAAATCAGATGACAGCTTAACACGACTCCCGCGTGATCTGTCAAAAAAAGACCATTGAAAAAAGTTCACAAACTAAAAATCTATCCAATATTTTTTTAAAGCAATTCTCATACAAATTTTCTTAAAAGTATGTAAGGACTAAAAATTAAAATTGTGCGTTTAAACCACAGTAAAAATGCATGTTTAGGCCGATGATATCATCTTATCTTTGGCAAACGCCAGCACCTGTGCACCATTATAGAAGATTGTACCTTCTCTATTTAGTTCAGCAGATCGAATTATTTTCTCCAGAAGCAGGTTGAAGAAGTCGCACGATAGGGAGTCGCCTTGTCTAAAACCTCGTATTGGTATCGAACGGCTCGGAGAGGTCCTTCCCGATTCTGACGGAGCTTTTGGTGTTGCTCAACGTCAGTTTACACAGCCGTATTAGTTTTGCGAGGATACCAAATTCAGACATCGCGGCATAAAGGCAGCTCCTTTTCGTGCTGTCGAAAGCAGCTTTGAAATCGATAATGAGGTGATGAGTGTCGATTCTCCTTTCAGGGGTCTTTTCCAAGATTTGAAGCATGGTGATTATCTGGTCGGTTGTTGATTTTCCAGGCCTGAAGCCACACTGAAAAGGTCCAATTTTTGTTGATGGTGTGCTTTAATCTTTCACACAATACGCTCGATAGAAGCTTATATGCAATGGTGAGGGGGCTTATCTCAAGGTAGTTGGCGCAGATTTGTGAGGTGGACTGCATTACCCCTGCATTTACCCCTGTCGGTCAGCTTATCAAGCGCTTCGTACTCACACATTTCGGCCTCTTTCTTTTTCTGTCTGGAAATGCGTCTCGCTTCCCTCTTCAACGGTATCTATCCCCTAACGCACGTATTGTGGTCGATCGTAACGTTACGAGGTAGGCAGCCTGTTTTCTCTCCCCTGCGACACGGCACTCCTCGTCGTACCAGCTGATTTTTTTTTGTACTTTCCGAAAACCAATGGTTTCGTTTGCAGCTGTACGTAAGGAGTTTGAAATGCCGAAGTTATTGCTTTTTAAGTGTAAGTATGTTTGTATTATCGATGCGAAAATGAGCTTCAAACAATGAGCTAACATTAAATTTTGTTTTAAAATTAGTAAAACTTTTACTGAAAAATTTCAATTGATGAAACAAATTTATGGCGATGATTGCCTATCTCGTAGAAGAGTGCACAGTGGTTTCAACATTTCCAAAGTGGTCGCGAGGATATAACGATGGGCTAATAAAAATCCGTGATCACCGGAAATTCCATCAAACTGAGGGTAAATTAATTAAAAATCATCATTGAAATTTATGGAAATGGAATTGAAAGTTTACAAACCATCGATTTATCGCATTTTGACCAAACATTTGGGCTTACGAAAGGTGTGTGCACGGTTTGTTCCGTTCAAATTGACAGACGACCAAAAATTGCTCAGAATCCAACATTCGAAGGACGATTATTTGACCAAAAATCCCATTTTAACAATTAACCAGTCCCCGTATTCATCTGATATGGCACGGTGCGACTTCCTTCTTTCCGGAAAAATGCATCTGCCCATGAAAGGAAAGCGTTATACAGACGCATAGGCCATTCAAAAGGCTTGCACTGGCATACTGGCTTTCTTACCGGCCAACGAGCTAAAATTCGTAAAACTCGTTCGATATGTTTTTGAACCGTGCAAAAAGCGGTATTGGAGCAGAAGGTAACTACTTTGAATTTCTTTCTTTCTGGTTTTCTTTCTTTTTTTTTTTGGTTACTTGATTTTACTATGAAACGCACCTTGTAATCACGTGGAAATTTTACTACTTCAAAAACAAGAAAAATAAGAAAAAAAAGCAACGTGTGTTATATTGATTTATAGCTTCTGAAAAATGCAGTTCTTTTTCGACGAACAGTCAGATATTTCACAACAAAAACTGGCCTAGACATTTTCGTTGTCAGGGCCGCAAATGCATTCATAACACACCAAATGCGACATCTAACATAAAACAATAGCGGAATAACTACTTCTTCTTCTTTACTGGCATAGACACCAAAGGAGTGGAGAACTTCCTCTGCGGCGGGCACTGCGTCGGGTACTGCGTCGAATATTTTCAGAGCTGGGGGGTTTCATTAATTCGGACAACATGACCTAGAAGCTGTCTTTTAATTCGCTGAACTATGTCAATGTCCTCGAATATCTCATCGCCCAAGCCTCTACACCATATAGCAAGACGGGAATAATGAGTGATTTATAAGGTTTTTTTTTCGACTGCGTTGGATTTCCAGGGTGACATTGTTGGTTCTGTATATACTGGTTCCTAAAAAGATGAAATTATCTACAACTTCAAAATTGTGACTGTCAACAGTGATGTGAGAGCGAAGTCGAGATTGCGGCGACTGTTTGTTTGATGACGGGAGATATTTCGTCTTGCCATCATTCACTGCCGGACGCATTTGCTTTGCCTTGTCTTCCTTGCATCCTTGATATCAACATCATCGGCATACGCCAGCACTCTTATAAAAGATTGTACCTGCTGTATTAAGTTCTGCAGCTCGATTTTGTTTCCAGCAGCAGGTCGAAGAAGTCGCACGATAACGAGTCGCGAAACCTCGTTTGGTATCGAACGGCTCGGAGCGGTCCTTCCTGTTACTGAAGAAGCTTTTGATGTTGCTCAACATCAGTTTAAACAGCCGTATTAGTTTTGTGGAGGTACTAAATTCAGACATCGCGACATAAAGGCAGCTCTGCTTACACATGTCTTTTCCAAGATTTGGCGCATGGTGAATATCTGGCCGGTTGTTGATTTGTTATGTCTAAAGTCACGTGTAAGTTAACGATAGCCTCCGCATAGAAACCTTACCATAACTGTAAATAAAATTGAATCTTTGCATTTTGCAATTACACTTTAAAATCTTAATTAACGTTTTTGATTATTTAAGAATTCAATATGCTTTTTCCGTTCTCAATCCAATAATCCATTATGATCAAGACAATATCGCTCGCCCTCACAAGAAGGCATAACAATAACAATCGTAAAGAAAACAGAACAGAACAGAACTTAACGTTCTGCTGGAATTTGCTGTGATGTGCAGCTAATATTGTAATTAACACCCTGTTCTGGATTCAATCAAGCTGATGCTTACACTTCAGCTTTAGCTTTAACTTTAAATAAATAACTGAAAAATGTATATATATTAGTAAATCAGAAATAAAGATTGATTTGTATCTGGCAATCCACACGAACCATATGTGTTTTATTTTATCCGCGCGTTCGCGGATGTAAAATATTTTTATTATAATTCCCTCTTAGCGGGAATTAATTGGCGCCCAACGTGGGGCACGAATCAAAAAGTGCCTAGTATAGTAAAAATTATAAAAAGTTGTGTTATCAAAAATTGTGAAGTTAAATTATAAAAAGTTGCGTTATCAAAAATTGTGAAGTTAAACTTATAAAAAGTTGCATTATCAAAAATTGTGAAGTTAAAATAATAAAAATTTAACACGAAGTGACAATCGCAGGATAATAAAAACAAGAAATTTTAAAATTGATTTAAAAACTCATAGTTGAAATAATTAATTAAAACATAACTAATCAACAAAATAAGAAACTTTAAAAACGTAAAGAGTGACTTGAATTGCAAAAATAATCATCAGTGGAAGTGTCAAGAGCGGCAGCAGCGATCACAAAGGAAACAGCGGTAACAACAGCAGTGGCAGCAACAGCATCATTAGCAGGAATTAGTACAAACACAGCGAAAGAATACATTTGTAAGTTTAAAATATAAGAAACTATATTTAGAATATATATGTATTAGAAATGGGAAATAGCCCAAATATTAAATAAAAAAAATTGTCATAATGCGACGTTTGTAAGGGCGATTACGATACTAACAAATGTCCCTAACTAAAAAAAAAAAACAAAGAAATAAAGACTATAAATAATGGTTTGTACAACCAATAAATTACATAATTAAAAGCTGCGATTCACCACCCTAGGGGAGACCCTCCAGCTTATAACAAATTAAAATTCTCTGCGATTCAAGACCCATGGGACCCTCCAGAGATTTATAAAAAATAAATAAAAATAAACTTTAACCATAGTTAAAGGCTCGACCAGCCATATAAAAAAATATGTTGAAACCGCGATTCACCACCGCAAGGTCCCCCTCCGGTTTATAATAAAGCTTAATTCTGCGAATCTGAACACCAGACCCTCCAGAATAAGAAAGCACCTCCTCCGAGAAGGGATCACAAAAAAAAAAAACTCATAAA